CGCCGCCCGTTCCCCGGCCGTCAGCTGGCCCCCGACGGCGCCTCCCCTACCTTCGTTCGCCAGGTCCGCCATTTTACTTCCTTAAGCCCTCCCACAAGGCCCCGCGCCGGCCCGGGCTCGTCTGCTTTCTGCCAGAAAGTCCCGCGCGTGCGCACTTCTCAAGCCGACTCCGAGCGAGGAGGGCAGCTCGCGCCTGCGCGCTGAGCCCAGCGCGGAGCGGAGCTCGGGATCGCGGTCCCGGCCAGGACAAACTCGGAGCACGCGCCTGCGCATTAACCGCCCCCGCCTCCTTTTCCCGCCGACAGAGGGGGCGTGGGCAGGACAGGGCGCATGCGCAGTGGGCCTCGCGCGCATGGCGGGCGAAGCAGGAACCGCCGTTCTGTGAGGCGGTGAGGCTGGAGTGGGTCTTGACACTCCAGCTCTTCGCTTGTTTTCCGGTCCTGTCCCCGCGGCGGGAGCGTGAGCCGCCCAGGGCGCTGCGGCCGAGGCCTTCATCAAGGTAAATCCTTGGGGAGGGGAGGCCTACAGAGGGTCGGGGGGCACCCTGTGCCACCCGAGGCCTCAGTTTCCCCTTCTAAGGGACCAGTACTTTAGGCAAACAATTTCAGAGGCCACGTGGAGAAGTTGGGGATGGTTGGGAAGGAAGTAGAGGTCAGTGGTCGAAGATCACTGCCTGGGGGGTAGAGGCGGGACAGGTGTTGGTTGGGGGACTTGATCTCACCAAGCCAACGGAATGGGAGCTGCGGGACCCCCAGACCCCGATATCCCGGACCAGACAGCGCCTGGCACCGAGCCTCAGTTGAGTGTCTTCGTCGGGAACATGGGCAGATCAGCGCTGCAGGGCTTGTGGAGATTATTGGACATGCTGGACTCATTCGCGACTCACCTGCTATGGATGCCTCAGAACATCCCGTGGGCTCTGCCCAGATCCACCCATTGCCCCCAAATGGGCTTTCCCTACCCTAGGTCAGACCTCTTCATCTCTCTCCTGGAAGGCCTGACAGCCTCTTCCCCTCTCTGCTCTTTTTTTTTTTGGAAATAGGCAGCACACAGAGGAATCTTTAAAGAGTAAATTAGATCAAGGGCACAGCTTTCCTCAGTGGTTCCAAAGGGCTTTCTGCTGAACTTGGAATAACTTCTAACCTCTTATTCAGGTTTACAAAGCCCCCCCTAGTTTTTGCTGCCATGCTCTGCCTTGCTCCTTGCAGCTCAGCCACATGGGTCTTCCTGTGTCCTGGGAGCCCACCAAAACTTCTAGCCTCAGGACCTTTGCATTTGCTGTTCATGTCCCATGCCTTACTTAGGTTTGAGTCCCAGCCCCCCTCCTTCTGCTCCAGTATGATCAAGAGCCTGTGGGCCACATCTGGCTTGTGAGCTAAGGAGGCTTTATGATTATTGGGAGAAAATTAAAAAAAGAATAATCGCCCATGATGTGAAAATTGTATGAAATTTAAATGTCAGTGCCCATAAATACAGGTTTATTTGGAAACAGCCGTATTCACATAATGTCTATGTCTGCTTTTGAGCTGCAACAGCAGAGTTGAGTCCTTTTAACAGACTGTCACACCAACAAACTTAAAATATTTACTCTTTATAGAAGTTGGCCAACCTCTAATCTAGGACACGTGTATTTACGTGGTCCTGTACGTGTCTCTACAACCAGTGGTGTGTGGTGAATGTTTAACAACTTTCTCTGGGGAGAGAATGTGTGTTTCTGTCTGTCTGTATTTATTTATATGTGTGCCTGTGTTTATATAGTTCATGGTAAATTTTACTATTTTCCCATCACTTGAGTCTGGAAGACAACAAAACAACAACAAATTGAACCCTGAAACAGCATTGTGATAAATAAAACATAAATACATAAAACGAAACATAATCTCAAAAATGAATTGAGCTCTGGCTTGTAGTGTTGATTTTATTGGTATAAATACTTCAACTCTGGCCAATTTCCAGCTACCAATGTGAACGTCACTAACCAGAGTTGAGAAGATGTGCGGTAGGACATGAGGTTTTTTTTTTTTTTTTTTTTTTTTTTACCTCTAGAGCTTGTTTTTTTTTGCTGCGGTCGCCAGATGGCAAAATACAAGAATCCCAGATCCCAGCGTAGGCTTGAATCAGAATCTGTATTTTAGCAAGATACCGGGGCTTCCTATGCTCATTAGATCTTGAGAAGCACTCTTCAGGAACTGTTAAATGGAACTTTGATTTATTGCTGGGGATGGGGCATATTTAATACTACTAAAAATTTCCCCAACTTTTACGTAACAGACACCTGATTCCGCTACCCCGGATTTTTGCCTCCAGGCTATACGCACAGGCCGCAGACCTTGAGTGAGAAATTCTCCAGAAATAGCTAGAACATCGATGCTGGAAAGGACGCTGTGGTGGTCCAGTCCATCTGGTTACCTGCAGTGCATAGACTCAGGTTTCCTCATCTCTTGCTTATGGGTATCACCATCTTCATTATATTTCATTATATATAGCTTTTGGGTAGGTGTTCTTGGCCTTTGTCATATATCTGAAGCCTCTGGCCTTTAATAAACTTAATACTTTTCTGTATATGGCTTTTATTTACTTATTAAAAAATGTTTTTAGGGGGAAGTGTATAGCTGAAGCGGTAGAGCACAAGCTTAGCATTGTACAAGGTCCTGGGTTCAATCCCCAGTGCCTCCTCCAAGAATAAACAAGTAAATCTAATTACCTCCCTCACAGAAAAACAAAAAAAAATTTTTTTTTTAGTGACGGATAGTTGATTTACAGTGTCATGTTAATTTTTGGTGTACAGCATAGTGATTCAGTCATACATATATATTCCTTTTCACATTTTTCATTATAGTCTATTACAAGGTATTGAATATAGTTCCCTGTGTTATACAGTAGGACCTTGTTTATCTATGTTACATACAGTAGTTTGAATATGCCTTTTGATAGTTTTAAGTTTACATTAAATAGATATCTGTAGATCACCATTTCAAATAGAAAACCACTAAGCCATGAATAGGAGATAATTGTTAAAAAAAAATTTGTTTTCATGAAAACTTTTGTGTTTTCAGATTCTGGGTAGAGCCTGTTGCCTGCCCAGTGCCGAGGCCTAAGCCTGCTTTTCCTTTGATGGGGAGGTTAGCAGAGGATCAGAGCGGGTATTAAAGGCATATTATCACTCAGCTGAAACTTCTTGACACGATGAGAAGCGTGAAAGAGAACTGAACATGGGTGAACTGTAATCCCTGAGGTTCGGTGTCGCTTAACACCCTGCCTCCACGTCTCCAAAAGCCATGTCATAGCCCACATCCAGCTCCCATTTTGGTAGCCTCCCAGCAGCACGTCATCACTTGCTAAATATAATCCAGCTGTGGTTTTTCAAGGGCTGTCGGGAAATGCTCAACCTGTCAGCCTGATGAGCCACTAACTTGCCCACGGCTTCACGGTTCTCATCCTGCTGCCCCAGCTCTGTCTGGTCTCTAACAGATTAACTTAGTATTTTAAACGTATTTGTTGACTACCTAGTGTGGTGGTTTAAAAACATGGCCCCAAACCCTTTAACCCTCTTCCCATCAAGAGGTGAGGTCTCCGATTCCCATCAACAGGGGCAGGCTTGTTACTGGTCCATTGGTGGCCGTGACACCATGTGATGTATGAAGTGAGGTCATAACAGTGACAGGATGCATCTTCCTCCTGCTTTGCTGGAACACTTGCCCTGAAAGCCTCCACTGTCATGCCCTGAGGTCGCCATGCTGTAAGGAAGCCGGAACACACCAAAACGCAAAGCCCTGAGAGCGACCTAGCCCTTCCCCTTCCTCACCCCCATGGAAGATAAATGACGGTTGCTGTTATAAGCCACTAGGTTTAGGAACGTCTGTTACACAGCAATACACAGCCACCACACTGACGATGCCTCGGGCCCAGGATGAACAAGACAGACCTACTTCCACAGAGCTTTGCATTCTTTTGTGAGGAGACTGACAATGACAAGCAAAAATAGTTTGAGATAGTGACCAGGGCTACAGAGAAAATACAACAGCATATCATGACAGAGAGGGGATACTTTAGATTGGCTGTTCAGAGAAGTCCCCTCTGAGGAGGTGACACTCTAATAGAAGACCTGCAGGAGAAGCACTCTAGCCAGAACAGTGAGTGCAAAGGTCCTGGGGCAGGAACCAGGTTGGTGAGCTGGAGGGGCAGTGAGGAGCTCAGGATAGCCAGGGCAGAGCGAGCCAGGGGCCACGCAGTTGTCAAAGGAGTATGAGGTTTTTCCCAAGACAAGGGTTGGAAGTGGGAGATGGATCCAGATGGTTTACCTTAAACTGCTGATCGGCCCCTCTGCCGCCTGCTTCCTCCCTGGCTCACCAGGAGACAAGTCCGAGGACCCCCATCCCCAACCTCAGCCTGGGCTGGGCTCTGACAACTGGGAACTGCTTTCTCTGCAGCCGAGTTGGAAATGTCTTCTGTAGCTGGGCCCCATAGCTGTAACTCAGCTCTCATCTTCCCACTGCGGGCGGGGCAGGCATGTGCTGTATCTGCTCTCTGGCCAGCCCCACACTGAGGGTGAGGACCTAGAGATGAACCAGCTGCGGCTCCTCTCCTCCAGGAGCTGAGTCAGGCGAGGGTGGAGGGAAGTCACGCTGGGCGGCCTCGGCTCAGCACCCTTCCTTGCCCTCCTGCCATCCGCAGGGCCGAGTTCTTGATAGCGGGGTGTCCCTTGTGGACGGACACACAGGCTGAGAGGGGGACCCCTGCCCCAAGCTGAGACACATTAGCTTCCCTCCCTTCCTTTGCAGCAGCTAAATGTCACTGAGTCGAGCTCCTACTGCTCTCCACAAGACAGGCAAATTGAGAGACGAGTTGTTGGGGGAAAGTGACTTTACCTGGAAAGCCAGCAGACCGAGAAGATGGTCTAGTGACTAGTGTCCCAAAGAACCATCTTGCCCGAGTTAGAATTCAGGTTTCTCTTAGACTAAAAGGGAGAGGAGTAAAGTTAAATAGTTCTTAGCTCTGATCAGCCTCCAGAGGGCATGTGTTAACTTCTTCCCGACCGCAGTCATTCACAGCTGGGCCTGGTTAGGGTGTTTCCTGTGAGCTAAACAAAGATATTTTAGCTTAATGCTCATTACCTGGGAGGCAGGGGTCCCAAAGAATGGGCCATCAAGTATAATTTAAGCTTATAGGCAGCATCCCTTTAGTGATTAACTTGCAGCAAAAGCAATACATAGATTAAAGTAAAAGAAACAGATCCAATATGGAGTCAGATTTGTTCTTTCCTATTACATAAACAGGGTATGGAACCATACTATGCTTCTCTTACTGTTTCATTTGTAATTAAGAAGTTTAAATTTTAAAATAAATTCAGACTTAACAAAGAAGTTGCAAAAATCATACCAAGCAATTCCGTATAGCCTTCACCCAGCTTCCTCAAATATTAACATCTTAGGTAAACAGCACAGTGGTCAAAACCAGGAAGTTCACACGGGTACCATGCCATTCACTCATGTACAAACCTAGTCTGATCTCATCTGCTGACTGCCAGGTTTTGTTCCTGTTCCAGGATGCAGCCCAGGACCCCTTGTTGCGTTCAGATGTCATTTCTCCTCAGTGTCCTTTAGTCTGGGTTAATGCCTCTGTCAGGTCTTTCCTTCACCATGACGCTGGTGAGGAGCACTGCCCAGCTATTCTGTAGAATGTCCCTTAGTTTGGGGTTTGTTTGCGGTTTCCTCCTAATTAAATTCAGGTGGTGGATTTTTAGTAGGAGTAACACGGAGTAGCTCCTATCAGAGGCAAGTGATGTCATTTTGTACCGTTAACTGACAACTCAGATCACTTGGAGACGGCCAGGCTACTTTTCCGTTTGTAATCACGGAATATCTTGTGGAGAGATAAAAAAAATAAAAAGACTATTTGAGGAAGAGGAGGAGAGACAGCTGGGGCAAAGGGGAAGCTAGCCCTTTCATTCCGCTGCTTCAGTAAGCAAAACAGCCTCCCTTCTAAGCGAAGTCGGAGCTGGCGGGTTTCCCAGGTGAAAAGGAAGAGGCTGTGCCACACAGTGACCACACGGGGGCGGCAGAGGACTGGGGTGCGATCAAAACTGGGCCCAACAGAAAAAGCAGTTAGAGCCTCCCGAGCAATTAGACTTGCAGAGACTCAGAGGCGCTGCACCTGCTGAGGTCTGGCACCTTCCGGGAACCAGGTCGGCTAGGCACTGGCCGGCGTTACTCCCACCAAACATCCAGCACCTGAATTTAACTTGCAACCCCCAACACCACCTCTATCAAATGTAAGCAAACAGGGAATTTGCTGGAAAGCGACGAGGATGCTCACAAGCCCAGGGAGGAGAGATAAGGAACTGGGCAGCCCCAGTGGGTCTAGGGGGCTGGGACCGTAGAGCAGAATCGGCGGGGCGCCCCCCGAGGAGGTTGCTTTCAGTCTTACATTCAGCTCACAATTCAGATTCTGAGGTGTCGGGTGGGTCCAGCATGATGGCACGTGCTTAATCCTGGTCTCCACCCACTTGATGCCTCCCTCAAGAATTTACTGAGTGACAGCCTTTAGCCAGGGGGGTCCAGTGGGCAGCTGTACAGATGAGGGTTGATGGAGGGGAGTTTGAAATCCACTTTGAGGCCACAGGCCTCACACTCCTGGGCCATCACTTCTAGAATGACACCCCCAGTCCTTGCCAAGATCTAGGAAGCCCTCTGTCTTCCTCCCAGTCCCCCCCTACCTCCCATCCTCCAGCTCACCCTGCACCACCCCACACGCCAGCCCCTCCGTCCCTCGCAGCCCCCTCAGTGTGTGTGAGTGCCCTCAGAGAGATGCCACTTGAAGCAATGGGAGACAGGCCACCCTGCAGAAGGAATCAGGGTGTTCTCCTCGAAGACCAAGGTGGAACGGATGCCAGACAGCCAAACCCCACAGGGTGCTCACCACAGAGATTCGCGAAGGGACCCACGACCTCAAAGTAGTGGTGAACCACTCTCCAGCACTGTGGCTTTCAGTACGTGTGTGTGTTCAATGTTACCTGCACTGCATGCATGTGTATACACACATATATGCTAGATAAAGGTTTTACCAAGCCATGTTTATCTTTGTTAATTACATGGACACTCCTGATCTTTTCTTTCTATCCTGGTCCATCAAAAAGAAAAACAGGTCCAACCCACCAACATGACTTCATAACCCCCCTGGCCTGCAGCTGGGCCCTTGGCTCCAGCAGGCCCCTCGCCTCTGCCCCACCTCCAACTCCACCACCACACTTCCGTTCGACCCCTCCCCCCAGCTTGTACCATCTTCACAAGGACCTAATTGACCCCCTTGCTTCCATTTTCTTCCTGTGTAATCCATCCACCAGAGTAAGTCTTTCTGAAGCCCAGCTTCCATTTTATTTATAAAAAAAATTTTGGTGGTGATCCCCTGAATGAATTTGACTTTCTTAATCTGTCCTAGATTTGGGAAATACATTTGGAGTAAGACAAATCAGAGCAACTCACCCCCAGAGCTTATGGGAAGGATGGATTTGCCAGCCATCACAATAAAGTATGGCACAGGAAATATGGGGTGGAAGGGATGCTATAATCTCAGGGATCTTCCAGGAAGGCTTCCTGGAGGAGGCATCAATTACAACAAATGCTAAAGAGGAAGGAGTGTGTGTATGTGGGGTGGGGGGTAGGGGTGGGGTTAGGCAGGAAGAGCAGTGAAGGTGACAGAACCTGAAATGAGACAGGAGGAGTTCCAGGAGAAAGAAATCAGAGAGTTGAGTGGGTGAGGGCTGGTGTGGGGCACAGGATGAAAAGGCAAGTGATAAGTGAAGTGGTTGTCAACATCTCAAAGATGCAGAGAACTGGTCATGGTATTAGCCAGCGGTTCTCACCTGGGTGGATACTGCCCCCCAGAGGACCTGGGCAATCAAAATCTGGAGACATTTCTGGCCCTCACACCTCTGGGTGGGGCACTACTCAATGCCTCACAGTGCCCTGGATGACACCACACCTCCGAGACTTATCCAACCCCAAAGGCCAATAGCACCAAGTTTGAGAAACAGTTGCTGAATGCTTACTTCAGTACTTTCTACAAACCAAAATTAAATCTCACAACACTGCGAGGTTGGTTTTTTCCAGATGGGGAAATCAATCTAAGTAATTTACCTGAGGGCACAGCTGGTGTCCTCGCTCCCTGCTGGGCTGCCTCTCCAGGCCAGCAAAGCTAGGGGAGTGGCAAGGAGGAAGCCTTGTGGGCATTTTGAGAAGGCAGGAGGGGTGGAGCCAATGGGGTGGCCCTGGGTTCCTGGCTCAGGCAGTTGGATGGCCAGTGCAGCGGATACTGTGATGTAGATCTGGGGAGGTCTGGGTGGCCAGATGCTGAGCTCCTGTCTTGCTCTTGGGAGGGCGAGGCACTCCCCAACCTCTGAGCAGCGGTGGGTGGGCAGCTGTGGAGCAGGTCAGCAGCACATGGATGAGGCCACTGAGGGTGTGGAAGAGGCAGGACCCAGGTGCCAAGGGGCAGCAGCCAGAAAAGTGGGAGGAAAAGGGGGAGGCGTGACACTCCCAGCCAGGGGGACTCTCCCTTCGTAGCGCTCCTGCAGCTGGTGTGTGTGTGTGTGTGTACCTTGCATCTTGCTTCAGAGTCCCTGCTACCAGAGAGTTCTTGGAGGCAGGAACATCTATGGGACCCCCTGCATCCCACCTGTGGCTTACTGAACTCTGACTGGAGGTCATTAGGGTTGTAACGATCACCAGGAACCCAGGTTCCTTCTGCTTCATTGCTTTGCTGTCCTTATTTTATGACATCTTCCTTGATGTTCAAGATGGCTGTTGGTGCTCCAGCCATCTAACCTGCATTCCAGCCAGCAGCCTTAATTTTCCCATGTGTACAATTAGTTGGGAGTGGGAGTAACACCTACCTTGGAAGGTTGTCAAAAAGAGAATGGACGAAGCATCTAGCGAGAAGCCACTGTGATTAGTCAGAGCCTTCCAGAGGCTCTTGGTAGGACGAGGTCCTCTGTGCAGTGCTTATACCTGGGGCCCTACCTACTCGTTGGCCAGTGGGCCTTCAGCGGGCTCCCCTCCTCATCTCTCCTCCAGTTCCTGGGGCAGGAAGCACATGGGCATCACCTGTGCTCACGAGCCTCTCCAGCCACTCAGATCCCGGGTCCCCACCCTAATCCCACAGGCAAGTCTATCTGTAGATGGGGCCCAGGCATCGGCGATTTTGAAACAAGCTTACACACTGATTCTCAGGGGAGAAGTTCGGCCCTGCCCCTGTACCAAGCAAGCTGTGAGAACTACCAGTGTGCTGCCTCAGCGGCTGGAGCGTGGATTTATTCTGCTGAATGAGTCTTGTCTGCTTACAGTCTCGCCCTTCCTGGGCTAAGAGTGCC